AAAAAAGACTAGTACCTTAAAAAATCCTCCATTCGGTTATGTTTGATTACCGTAAGGTTTGGGATCGATTACTTTTAAAATTGGGCTATAATAAAAAAAAAACAAAAAATCAACGCTCAACTTTGCACAAGTATTAGAGGTAAAATTCTGAAAAAATGCACGGTTAGCCAAAAAGCAAAAAAACTGCCCTTTCTGGGGATGAAATTAGGGGACGCGGAAAGAAATTTTTGGGGAATATTCTTGATTCATTATCAGCACCCGTGACTCTACATAAAAAAAATAAAACCCGAATACCATCGAGTTTTCCTTCTATAATCTTTGTTTCCTGGACTATAGTATACTATAGTATACTATAGTATAGGACATGGTACAGTAATTTTACTCAAAATTTTATGTAGAATTTAAAAACGTGGGCCAATAAGAAGTGGGGTATATAATTATAGAACTATTATAATAGTTCTTGTCAGTTTTTTAATGGTAATTTATTTTGCCTGTAATTTTACTTTAGTTCCAATTGAATTAATTCTATCGACTAAATAAATATCATTATCTGAAGTTAAACTTTATTTTTCAATTTTAAATACGATGTTCCTGATCAACTGGATACTTCTTTATTCAAGTCATAACCGCACAGCGACATGGAAATAAGTGCTTTTTAGTTTTTTTATTTAAAAACCGTTCGTCGGAGGAAAAATGTTAATAGGCCATTTTTCGCTGTGGAAATTCGTGGGTGTAGGACAATATATTAATTTATATGTTATGTACACTGAGAAAAAAAAAATGTTGTAGAACCATTCAAAACGATAATAATTCAAAGGGATTCAAATATGTTTCGGCGTCATTGGTGTGTCACATTAAATTTATAGGTGTATAACAATTGTATAATACGAGGTGTGTTCAGAAAATAACGGAAATTGTTAAATTTCGCGGGTTCGAAGGGTCCGGTTTCCATAAAATTTTCTTTATTATGTTGGTATATATGCCCCCGAAGTATAATAAAAACTGTAGCTGTTTTCATTGTTTACTTTGCTTGTGGCAGCCGCTAAGGTTAGACGTGTTTTATGAGCTCGGCGATTTTTCGTTCGTTAAAAGAAATGGATCAAAGAATTTGTATCCAATCTTGCTTAAAACATAAAATAAATTCTGTGAAATGTTAACAAAGGCCTATAGTGAGCCTGCTATAAATAAAACAAGAGTTTACAAGTGGTATAAGACTTTCCAAGATGGCCGTGAAGACGTTGAAGATGACGAACGCCCCGAACGCACAAGCGCATTAAAAACCGATAACATGGAAAAAGTGGAAGAAATGGTTATAAACCATCAGAGAAGTCGCTGATGATGTTGGTATATTGATCCCATGAAATTTTTTTGAATGTTTTTGGTATGAAACGCTTGGCAGCAAAATTTGTTCTAAAATTGTTAAATTTAGAACAAACATTTTGGCCAAAAACAATACTGTAATGATGCCCCAGCCTCCATATTCGCCAGACATGCCTCTGTCTGACTTTTTCCTATTCCCAAAAATAAAGAGAACCTTAAAGGGCCGTCGTTTTGCAGGCATAGATGACATTAAAAGCGCATCGCTGAAAGAACTAAAGGCTATCCCAAGTGTTTCGAGTATTGGAAGAAGAGCTTGCACATGTGCATAATATCCAATGGGGACTATTTGGAAGGCGACAACATTAATGTACACGAATAAGTAAATATTGGTTTCAAAAAACAAAAATTCCCGATATTTTCTTAACACACCTCGTACATACTATCTTTTTGAACTTTGAGAAAGGCAATAAAATAAATAAATTTCTTTTTGTATATATATTTTAAAGAGGGTACACTTTAAAAGTGTTTAAAAACATTGTAAAACTGTTGGTAAATGAATATAAAACTAAAAATTTTTGTATTTGAATCAAATTTACTCGATTATTTAAATTAATATAATTTCATATGCTTTTCATGACTTGATAGTGTATAACGTATAACTAATACATTTGTTAAACAATGAAACTGGAGAACTAACTAGGCAATAAAATGTGTTTCTTTATACAATCATTTATATTTAATATTGTTAAGTAAATTGAAGGATTTCACATTTTACCCATTATTTGTGTATAAAGCAGTGGCGGCTGGTGGATTTAAGCCAACGGTCCGTTCCTACCCCTAATCCGCACAAGCCATTCAGTTGGCTTTTGGGACTTCTTAGGAAGTAAGGGTGGAACTAAAAGAGCATTTTTGTATATAAACTTTTTGTATATCTCAATTATTAGATATGGTACCCACAACAAATCTAGTTTATATTGACACTAAATAAACAAGTTCTGCGCAAAAAAGGTAACTTTTTTGAAAAGAAATATTAAAAATTTAAAATGGTATAAAATCTGTATAATTTGGATTTTTTAAATGAAATTTGAAATTTGTCGATAAACTATGGTAAATAATAAATTGCACCAATTAAATTTATATTATATTCATTGGGGGCGCCATGGGGCCGCCCCCCCAAAAAGATAATTTTTTGCTCGGCCGTACCGGCTTCAATTTAAATTCTGCTTGCGGAGAACTTGTTTATTTAATGTAATTATAAACTCATATAAATTTGGTGTGGCTCCCATATCAAATAATTGAGATATCGGTATACCCAAAATCCACTAGTTGCCACTGGTATAAGGGATCTGTAAGTCCTTTTGGTTTAGCACAATAGTATTCTAAACCACATTATATTATTTCTCCAGTTACTGTGTTTGACTCGAGGGAAAGTTAGGATTTATATGCCCTTGGGTAAAATATTCCAATTGTCCTAAATTATTTCTAAAAACGCCCCAAGGAAGATTAATAATTGCTGTTTGTGACTGAAAATAGGAAAGCATATTTACTTTTCTTCGCTAAAAATGGCAAATGCGCCGCGGTTAAATTTTTATAAATTAATAAGTTAAAAGCATTATAACACATGCTACTAATTTAATTATATTATATTAATAAATAACTTAATAAACCTATAAAACAGTTTAATGGATTTATGAAGTCGATATTGGCTTTTGATATATATTATTTACAAATGACAAATAGATCTGTATACTTTTAGTGTTTATTTGTTTACGTTATATACATATAACTCTAATATTTTCCAATAATAGAAAATCAAAGAAATATAATCGCAATTCAAAAATCAATTTCAGGTGTAATACCTACTCTCTTAAAATTCCACTATTTAAATTAGTACCAGCATTTTTAACTAATAAAATAGTCGTTTTCACTTTTAAATAGTTATTTTGTACTAATGAAATACGAGGTGTGTTCAGAAAATAACAGGAATTGTTAAATTTCGCGGGTTCGGAGGGTACGGTTGTCATAAAATTTTCTTTATTATGTTGGTATACATGCCCCCGAAGTATGACAAAAACTTTAGCTGTTTTCATCGTTTACTTTGTCTGTGGCAGCCGCTAAGGTTAGACGTGTTTTATGAGATCGACGAATTTCGTTCGTTAAAAGAAATGGAACAAAGAAATTTGTACCCAATTTTGCTTAAAAAATGAAATAAATTCTGTGAAATGTTAACAAAGGCCTATAGTGAGTCAGCTATAAGTAAAACAAGAGTTTACAAGTGGTATAAGAGTTTCCAAGATGGCCGTGAAGACGTTGAAGATGACGAACGCCCCGAACGCACAAGCACATTAACAACCAATAAAAACATGGAAAAAGTAGAATAAATGGTTATAAACCATAAAAGAAGTCGCTGATGATGTTGTTATATCGATTGGCTCATCCCATGAAATTTTTTCGAATGTTTTGGGTATGAAACGCGTGGCAGCAAAATTTGTTCTAAAATTGTTAAATTTTAAACAAAATTTTTGGTCAAAAATAATACTGTAATGATGCCCCAGCCTCTATATTCGCCAGACATGCCTCTGTCTGACTTTTTCCTATTCCCAAAAATAAAGAGAACCTTAAAGGGCCTTCGTTTTGCAAGCATAGATGACATTAAAAGCGCATCGCTGAAAGAACTAAATGCTATCCCAAAGATCGAGTTTTAGAAGTGTTTCGAGTATTGAAAGAAGAGCTTGCACATGTGCACAATATCCAATGGGGACTATTTTGAAGGCGACAACATTAATACAGACGAATAAATAAATATTTATTTCAAAAAACGAAAATTCCCGATATTTTCTGAACACACCTCGTAGGCTCCATGGTTAAATGGCCCATAAAAACAATCAAGGATGCTAAAAGTTTAGCTCAAAACAGCAACACAAATTATATATTAAATTTAAATCTACTAATTTGACTATTTCATTCACTAGAATTTGATTAATTATTAGTGACTGCTTTTTCGCTATGACAATTAGTCAAATATGACTTATAATTAGTTATTTTTGACTTAATTCATTTTAAGAGAGTATAGAATTTATTAAAATAGTAAAACTGAAATAATGTAGCTCATAGATATTAAACATAACATAAATATATTATTTGCCCAGGCCCGGATCTAGTCCGCTATTTTTGAATTTCACACTCCTTAAATTTAAATATAGGGACATTCAGAGGTTCTTTTGCTGCCCCCTATATGCAGAGTATTATTGAACTAGCGACAAATCGAAACAAGCATTTTTTTGTTTTTTTTGAACCATTGGAAAAATTAGAAGACAAAAAACTCAAGAAATTCTCGAATTAAAACAGGAAACCTGAGAGTATATTAATATAACTTTTGCAGTAGCCTTAAGTTGGTTGAAAAACAAAACTAAATTTTTTCGGGTATTTACCGAAATGCGGAGATAATATATAATTTCTCAGTGTCGTAAAATTCATGTTTTCATCAAAATATTTTGTAAACAATACTAAACTTAAAATCTATAAAGCATGCTCACCAATTATAGGCTTGAAAAAAAATATTTACTGAACTCAAAACAAAACTGTTAAAACGCATTTTCCAGACAGCAGGAAATAAATTTGTTTTAGTTAAAATATTGCAAAATATTGTATTGTCTAAAATATTTTTTGTTTTGTTTCAGTGTCACCAACTACTTTCTAGTGAATTTGTCTGTGGCAGACCTTTTAGTAACTTTGGTATGTATGCCAAATGGAGCATATATGGCATATTCAGATATGTATTACTTCGGGGAATACATGTGCAAGGCATCTGGATATCTGCAATGTAAGTGGGATTAAATATTTTTAAAAGGCGGTTTAAATTTTTAATGTGACGCGAAAATGTAAAAATCCGAAATCTTAAATTTGTTAAAAATACTTGGGAAGTTATTTTTAAGAAAAAGCTTTTTACAAAGTAGTCAAACAATTATTTTTTTTTGGTTTTAATCAATAAATAATATATTTCTTTTTAAAAATTACTTCACCAAATAAGACTCATATTATATAAATATACTGGTGTTTTGTTTAAAATAATGTTACAACTGCATATTTTCGCCTATTTTTCATACTTAACAATCGCGTTTTCTTTAGTTTGTATGATATTTGTTCGTATTTACGTATTTCGTATATGTAGGTACCTTTTAGGTTTTAGGTTTAAACAAGATTTTTGCACTTTTTGAATTCTATCAATATTAACTTTATCTAAGCAGTGACCATATACAATATCACAGTAGCTGAAGTGACTTAAGACCAGTGAATCAGTTAATACGAGGTGTGTTCAGAAAATATCGGGAATTTTCGTTTTTTGAAACAAATATTTATTTATTCGTGTACATTAATGTGGTCGCCTTCAAAATAGTCCCCATTGGATATTATGCACATGTGCCAGCTCTTCTTCCAATACTCGAAACACTTCTAAAACTCAATCTTTGGGATAGCCTTTAGTTCTTTCAGCGATGCGCTTTTAATGTCATCTATGCTTGCAAAACGACGGCCCTTTAAGGTTCTCTTTATTTTTGGGATTAGGAAAAAGTCAGACAGATTGTTTTTGGCCAAAAATTTTATTCAAAATATAACAATTTTAGAACAAATTTTGCTGCCACGTGTTTCATACCAAAAACATTCGAAAAAATTTCATGGGATGAGCCAATCGATATACCAACATCATCAGCGACTTCTCTGATGGTTTATAACCATTTCTTCCACTTTTTCCAGGTTTTTATAGGTTGTTAATGTGCTTGTGCGTTCGGGGCATTCTTCATCTTCAACGTCTTCACGGTCATCTTTGAAACTCTTATACCACTTGTAAACTCTTGTTTTACTTATAGCAGACTCACTATAGGCCTTTGTTAACATTTCACAGAATTTATTTCATTTTTTAAACAAAATTGGATACAAATTCTATGATCCATTTCTTTTAACGAACGAAAAATCACCGAGCTCATAAAACACCTCTAACCTTAGCGGCTGCCACAGACAAAGTAAACAATGAAAACAGCTAAAGTTTTTATCATACTTCGGGGGCATGTATACCAACATAATAAAGAAAATTTTATGACAACCGGACCCTCTGATCCTGCAAAATTTAACAATTCCCGTTATTTTCTGAACACACCTCGTATAAGTTATTTTGATAAAACTTGTTGATGTAGATAAAGTAGTTTTAGACTACAATATGCTTTTTTAAACAATTATTTATATGTTCATTGAATCGAATTGTTGAATCCATCAATATACCCAAGTTCTTTGCTATTTTAGTAAATTCCAAATTGTCACCATCATCTGTGATCTGCATACGATCCTTTAAGTCCTCTCTATTCTTTCCAAATAACAAGATTAATGGGGATTAACATTTAGTTGGTGCTGCTTGGATTCGTTTGTTCGTTGTTATAAATCCTCATTAATAAGCAAACTTACAGCTTCAACTTCGTTTGGAAAAAGTGAATATTTTAAAATTTAGAATCTGCGTAAAATTAGTATTTGCAATTAATTATGGATTTATCTAAAAGCAGTAAAGGGCCTAAAATTGAGCCTTGTGGAACTCCACTATTAATATTGCTTCTTCAGGATTTGCCCATTTTCGTTTGTACGAATTGTGCTGTGTTGCTTACGAGGTGTGTTCAGAAAATAACGGGAATTGTTAAATTTCGCGGGTTATGTTGGTATACATGCCCCCGAAGTATGATAAAAACTTTAGCTGTTTTCATTGTTTACTTTGTCTGTGGCAGCCGCTAAGGTTAGACGTGTTTTATGAGCTCGGCGATTTTTCGTTCGTTAAAAGAAATTAATTTTTAGGCTACTTTAAGTTAAAATATGTATAATTAAAATATATGGAAATGTTTTAAAACTCTTATATCTAAGTTTCATATTTTTTAAGTAATACAAGATTTTGTAGGATGATAAATCAGGTTAATTAACACTTAAACCTGAATTCATGTCGGTATTTCTCATCCACTGTGGGCAATAATTAAGTTTTAAATTTCATCTCCATTCCTTTTTTAATGGCAGTGTAATAAATATAAAACTAAAATTCAATTTTTAGTCTAAATGTTTCTCTTTTCTATTCCAATTGCATTTATCGTTGAGAATAATAGACGTAGACTTTCTTTATAAATAAACAGGTAAATGCACCGCATTTTATTTGAAGCCAATGGTAATATAAGTTTTGAAATATAATGCTAAATCACTTTTGTTCAAAAGCTAAAAAGTTTTGGGTATGACACAAAATTCATGTGGATTTTAAAATACATCGTCTACATAAATAAATATTAGTAGATTTAACATCTCTGCGGGCTGTGAAAAGAACTGAAAAAGCTTTATAGAAAAGGAAATACTTTTTGAAAGAACATTTTTTCTTTGTGGCCCTTAAGTTAAGGGTTTTCAATAATTTTTGTACGCACCTAGAACGCCTGTTACAATGTACTTATTTAACTCTAAAATATCTACCTCTGCCTAGTAATTGTATAAAATACAATATTTATCCTTTAATAAAGTAATTATAAATTATATTATAATAATTATTGCTTGCTATTTTAGAATTAAATACTCTCTAACAATGAATTAGTCAAAAATGACTAATTTAATAGTTATTAGTGGCTGCTTTTTCACTTGTACCATGGTTAACCATGGAATACAAAGGTATCCCAAAATTTAACAGCCAATTCTTATGTAAAATTGTCACTTTTATATGAGATACGAGATAAAAACATTTTTTGAATTTTATTTTTTAATGTTTCAATCTAAACTAAACAACATTTATAATCCATTTAATAATAATAATAATTGTACATAAATTATTGTATTGTACATAAAAGCTTAATTTCTCATTATGATGCCATAAATAATAACTAATTCTGTATGTGGCAAAAATATTTCAATTAGTTAATACAATTTAAAATTTAGTGTAGTAAAATTCGTTTTATTTTATAAATTAAAAATTAAAAAATGTTATAGGTTATAAAGTTTTTATCAAAAATATAAATGTTTAATCAAATATAAAATAAATAAAATATGTTAACCTTTATTGTGTAATTCAATATTTAAAATATTGAATTTATAAAATTTAAAATATTATACAGGGTATCCGACAAACAAGGACATTAAATTCTAAAAATAATTCTGGACTTCAACAAAATCTTCTTATTAAAAATTTTATTTTTTGTTTAATTTCAAAATAAATTAAAGTTAAAAATATTTATTTTCAAAAAGGTGAAAAACGTCACTTTGTTGCAAAGGCTTTGCTTATTTGCTGAAGGGGACCTGCGTTTTAACAGTTTGATAAACGCCATTTTAGTCACGAATTTAATTAAGGCACGAGCAAGCTTGCGAGCGAGTGCTTAATTAAATGAGTGCCTAGAAAAGTTTATAAACGAGTTACATACTATAATTTTTCTACGACAAATACTTATTATTAATTAATATCTAAAAAATGATTTAAATTAAATATTTGTATAAAGCACACATACACATTTTTAACGTAATATTCACCATTAACATTGCCCGTTATTATTTCAATAACACCTAACAATTATTGATACTTTTAAATATTAAAATAACTTCAAAATATGATTATGTTAAGACAATATTTTATCCTTTGATTTGGTTATTACTATAATTGCAAAATATAACAAAGTATTAAAAATTAATTAAATGTTAAAGGCGCAAAAAGTGACTATTGGAATTCCCGTTAGAATTTCTAACTTGGGAATCTACCGTCGTTAAAATCTCAAATATTTCTATGTAAATCAAAATTTATCACTTGAAAATAAACCAACAATCGATATAGAAGCAGTTTTTCAAAGTAAAAGAGAATTCTCTTAAGATAATGGTTTTATGGGCACTATACGCAAAATTTTTAACGCTCTATCAGTTAAATCTAGTTAACTGCACTAATACGTCAAAATCAAAAGGTCAATTTTGTATTGAGATAATAAAATAATTTTCAGATTTAGTATTTTTTTACAAGAAATGCACTTTATTTTAACGATTGTATGAAATATGAAAACTGTCAACTAACTTTATCCCGTGACTAAAAACCTCTGGCTAACTTCAGCCCGTGACTAAAGAGCCATAAAGCCACAACTTATCAATGTGTATTTAAAAACATTATCATTATTAATGGCTACATTAATATTAATAATTAATTAGCAAATTTCCCTAATATTAATTATTAATATTAGGGAAATTTGCTTTGTTTTCGTTAAAATGATAATTTTAAAGGTGAAATAGAATATTTTTTATTTACGCCGTGTAAAATTAACGAAAACATTTGACTGAAAAAAACGAGTAGTTACATTTCGTACATCATCCCAGAAGCGCTGATTCATTGAAGAAACGTTTTCACGATATTCTCGTCAATTAACTGCTCACACGGTGATTTAGATTATGTTTTTGGGATTTTCAAAATTTACAAGTGCATGTTTCTATATGATATGTGATGTGTAATGAGAAAAAGAACCAAAAAAATAGTAGTTATAAGAGGTAATTATCAATTTACTCACAAGCACACACAACAAAACATTATTATTATAATATATTAGTAGAAATTTTTCCGTAAAATCAACGAGAAAACCACTTTATCTAAAACGATTCTTAGAATCACTCAGTGACTTGGATCCCTTTTAAATTCTAATTTGGTAAACATTTATTTTAGTTTAAGCAGACGGAGACTGCAGAAAATAAAATTCGTACTAATAAGTTTTGAGTACCTCAAAATGAATCCGGGAACACAAACAATAATTTTATGTTTGTATAACATATGAAGTTTGTAATTGATTAAATAAGCTA